ACAGAGCTCAGGAGCAGGCTTGTTAGTAACAACACCAGCACACAGGGGTTGTTCTAATTCTAAACAGTCAGATGAAGACAGCAGTCCAGGGCAGTGACTAGGACAAAGATCACGCTAAGCTTGCTCGCTTCCACACCCGGTGAGAAATTCACAAATACCTAGCAAAATACTCATTGCCACCCACCTTCTGTGGTGACTGGGAGAGAAATCTCCATGCAGGCTGCAGACTGTGCTTTTCTGAAGGGGGGCCTCCCAGGCCCTCGGCGGTTTGCTTTTGAGACGTCTGCGCTGGAAAGTCGTTTTCCTGAACTGCAGCTCTGGGAGGTTGGACTGGTACAATGACCATTCACATGATCTGGAAAGCGAATGCAACAAGTGCTAGGTAAAGCGCCAGCTGCCAATATTCCGAATGGAGGAGAGATGTACGTTCTGGTATTTAAGAATGGGTTAAACCGAATCATCTGAGAAGAGCTACTTCTTTGTTTTACCAACCCAGCATGTATATGTAAGAATAACTCACCATCTCTTCTAAGGAGCAGTTTGAACAAAACACAAGGGATGTAAAACGTGTACATGTTCTTAGAGATTCCCCAGCATTTTGATGACCTATGTGCATAAGCAATTTATCAAGATAACTGCTGGTAACACTGTCATCCCTGATGTTGTGACTCCTAACAGAAACCAAATAAACTTGAACACCATCTTTCCTTTTTGCTCGCACAAAGAACTTGCAGGAAAGAATTTAGAGTGAGACATCTTCCCTACCTGACTCAAAGCCACGTGAAACAGGCGTCTAACTGCTACTATTTGAGATAATTATAAAACTAGCCATAATACTGCTAAGTATTGTATACCACATACATTTATTTTACTGTTCAGGAAACTGACCATTGAACAATTGATTTCTCTGCCACAGATCTAAACATATGAGGCCAAGTCCTCATATCTCCTAGGTATCCCTGCTAGAGGCCACGGTCAATCAGCACAGCATATGCTGCTGTCTGAGAAACAATAAGTGGCTGCTTTAACTTCTGCCTACATTTGTCTGTTCTTTGTCACTGGAAATGGGTCTTTAAACCACAACATTCCACTTATCAAGGCTTAGACAGGAGTTCAGAGAGGGTTAAACTGGACTATAAAACATTAATGTGATAATTTTGTTCTTCTCGTGTTGAATGAGGCAACACAAGAAGAATTAGTGAACACAATTTGCCCCTCAACATATGAAATGATACACACCCAGTTATAATTGAATTATTTTTTGTCAACGGGTAATTCATACTTACTAAATAAAGTAAATAGAAGGTAGTAAGTCAAATTCAGACTTAAGCTCACCAAATAATTCTATTCAAAACCACAGAAGGTCAAAATTACAGGTAAGGGCATGCTTGGAGTTTCTGCCTTCATTTTAAATGTCAGGTTATTTATATCCAAGAACTAGATCAGCGTTTAAGATTTGGTATCTAAGTACCATATTCACTCTTGATTTGTATTGTATCCAAGGAAAAGAAGAATGTTAATATACAAAGAAAAATTTATTTCTTGGCTACCATGCCATGATAGCTCCAATGTACATGATGAAAAGCTATTTCTATATTCATATGATAAAACAGATTCTATACTGAATACAGCATATAGTGTGCTATTATATGCAGTCTTCCATTGTGTAAGTCATGTCCTTTCCATGTGAAAGCAGTTCAGTCTTAATGAGCAAAATTGGAAAGAATTGTTCAGAATTATAGTTCACAAAGCAATTTAGTATCTGTACTGCATAGTGAGACTGCTCTGTAGGAGACACAACTTTCATGATTCTTATCATGCTTCTTAACACATGGCTATTAACTGAGCTAACAGCAGACATAAAACTAATGTGGATGATTCATTCAACTTCGAGTTATGGAATTTTCCAAAATCTGCTTGAACTATTCATATATTTCAGTGGAAAGTCCTTTGAGATCGGGGGCTTTGTTCAAGGGCACAGGCTGACTGTTCAACCTCAGCAACAGACACATCCTCATCCAGCTGCTTCCTTTCTTCAAAATTCAGTTTGTGTGAAGGAGTTTCAGCATGATACCTAATTATCTCCAGGGGTATCCTAGGAAGTGGTGAGGAACATAACAGAGTAAAAAAGAATAATATTCTACAGAAACAGCAACAAATTTTAAGAGAAATACTGCTACGTTTCTCTTAGTGTGCTTGCTTGTCACAGTTACCTTGAAAGCTCCAAATTAAACAAAACCAGTCAGTAGGATCTGGGCACCTAAATCCCTTTAGTTGTTTTGACAATGCCTTTCCAAATAATCAAAGCCAGTTCCTGTGAAGAAAACAATTCAGGCCTCATCCTAGAAGCTGCAGTGATATCCTTTCAAGTTCTGAAGTTGGTGAAATGTACAACAAAGAGTCTTTTCTCCGATTTGTGGGTGGTGAACTAAATAGCCAGGACTCGGTTTGTAGCTGTTCTGTTCATAAGGATGGCGTGAGCCACTGGAAGTAATCATAGCAGATTACTCCATGCTGCCATACATGTTCATTTTATATGGATTTAACTGAACTGATTTAACAAACCAGTTAGTTATACATTGTATCTAAGATGTATTAAAATAGATAAAAGAGAAGTTTATGAAATAATATTCTCTAATGTTTTCCATATGCTGCTTCTACACTGCAGGTCCTGTTTTTTGCCTTTGGGTTCATGCATTACCCATATGAACTAAAAATGCTTTAGCTATCCCCATCACCAAAGAGTAGCACTGTTCACTGCAGTGTATACTCCAAAAATTTATTCAAAGAAGAAACAGAACTATGCTGGATTGAAGGCCAGTGTGTCACACAAAATGACATGATGAGATGATAAGATTAAGAGGAACCAAAGAAGTAATACTAGCTAGTGTGAACTTGATGAAACTGCATCTCTCATAAGGCATCTCCCAGTAATGTGCAACATGACAGCAGCAAACCTGCTGGAGATCCTCAAATTAATCTATTTTTTTTGAGGAGCATTACAGACAAGGAGTGTGTATTATACATACACATGCTGATTTTAGTTTACGCACCGTAACATGTTACTGTACATGTTACACAACCTGCCTTGTCATACAATGGTTTTAAACTACTTCGTGACCTCTGCAAAAAGCAAAGGGAACCAACAATTTACCAGTGAAAAGCTGAACCCTTGGTAAAATCAAATGTACTAAAAAAATTAGCAAGAAAGAAAAAACCTGCATTTGCAGTTGTTGTTTAGCAAGTTGTGTTACACTGGACACAATTAAAAAAAAAGACCAACCTTTTTTTTCAGTTCTAACAAACAGATAAATTTACACAGAAAAACTAGCTGAAAATCAGTTCTTATTAATTATCTGAGAGCGAAGGAATTTAAATACAACTAATTAGAAGCCTTATAATATCACTCTAAATTTTAAGGAAATAATCAATAAAAGAGCAGTCAAGAGGACCACAGAGAGATGCTGTAATATAGAGCAGAAAGAACCTGAAAAATGAGTGAATCTCCTCCATATACATTGATAAACACAATTTCTGCTGTTAAAGGGAGGAAAAGTCCATCTGTTTCCACTGGGGGAACTTTGTATATCATCTGTATATTAGATTTTGGGTAATAATTATGGGTGTGGCTAACTTTTTTTCTTTACACAGCAAAAAGATATACATTAAATCACGAAAAAAGATCTTGTAACTGTACAAATAGCCTGAAGAACAGTCTGAGGTTTGCAGGTAAAATAACCAAGATTTGGGTAAAAGTAGTGTGATCATTCATTAGCAAGAATATAGACTGACACCACAAACTTTTAATAAATTAAGAGAAAGTCCCTTACAAAGTCAGGATCACAATTTCCTCTTGGTGCAGTTCCGTGAACCAGGCAGGAGAGGAGGTGTGAGCCCCAGCAGAAGAGATTAGTACAGGTGTACTGCCAGCAAACGAGTGTGTTTACCATCATGTCTTCATCAGATTGAAGAGGAAGGATGAATTGCCCTACTGACGTACTGCTTTTACACTTAGGTCCATACTAAGAGAATAACGTGCTGTCGTTGTAAATGTACTGCCTGTGTAATATATTTGCAGCCTTATTATGGTAATTAATGCCTAGCATGTGCTTGATCCTACATATCATCATTTTTTTGTGAAAGCAAGGTGAACAGATTTATTTTTCAAAGAAATAAAATACTGTAAAGTGGTTGAAAATGTTAAGGGCATTGTCACTGACAGAATCCCTTTAAAAACTAGTAATTTTGCCTGTAATTATGAATAATGAAGCCAAAATACAAAATAAACATTATGCAAATGAAGAACACAAAGAATATATTACATTTGGCATAACATCACCTCCACATTACCGTATCCGTAAAACCAAGCCTGGCAGCGTAAATCTTGAAATGTATCTAGCTTTGTTCCCTGGGAATAGTGGGAAAATTTTGGGCTATTTGGATTTAACCCTACTCCTCTGATTCCTCTGCTGAATTTCTAGTGATCATGTAACACTGCTGGACTGACTGTCTCAAAAAGTACACAGCACTTAGTGTGCTTCAACAGAATAATGTAATGTATATTGTTGCTATGCTTTGTGCCATAAACAAGAAAACACAGGCAGAAAACTTGATTTAATTCTGATACATAAGCAGGAAACATGACACCTCCTGAGCTGCACAGAGGACAACACTGAGACATGCAATTAGAGTGGATGAACCATAAGACTACCCAGGATAGCAACAACTAGTCCTGAGCACCCATTTTAGTAGCATTGCATCTGCATTTTCAAGACAGAAAATCTGGGGTTAATTCTCCATTTCTGAAAATGAAAAATTCTTCAAAAAGGTTGGGCTGGCAACATTTTTTCAACTTGAGTGTGACAAAAATGAGGCATGACACATGAGTGCAGGAGACTTTCTAAACAAAATTGACCCCTTCATCTGACACGAATGAGCAAAATACAAGATAACTACAGTGAAAGTGTTTGTAGTCTGTTCTAACCAGATTCTTCCAGAGAACCTTCCTCTGATTTTTCAGAAAAAGATGTTTTTAACTAGAGGTAACAATGCCTGAAATAACTGAGCTAGTACCACTCCACAGATGCTAACATATAAATAATTTGCTTGCACATACTCAACAGAAAAATGCACAGACATAGACAAATAAAGCATTCCAAATATAATCAAGCTTACCCATGATTTTTATGCAGCAAGCAATTTTAAAAAAATCCAAGTTTTTCCAAACTTGTTAACATTATGCATTGTCAATTTTCAAAAGATTTCATACTAGGTTATTGCAATAAACAGACTAGTACCAATTGTTCATTCTTACTTTAATGTTGCAAAACCAGATTTCATAGTTGATGACTTCTG